TAATGAAAAAAAAAAAAAGGAAAAAGGAAAAATTCAAAGACAGGCATTAAGTATGGCATAATTTAATTTTCAGGTTTCAAGTTTCAAAATTCGGTTATTAACTAATTAATTGAAAATATTTTATAAATTAAATATATTAAGGTCACAATTATATAATTAATGATCACAAGTGCATACTTGTAAGTCGCAATTTATTGATTGATTTCATATTATCAAATCAATTGATCACAAATTATTTTATGGTCACAATAAAAAAATTGATAGGTCACATTTTATTTTATTAGTCACAAATTAAAAAATTTATATATCACAATTTATTTGTCATTTACAGATCTTCAAATTAATTGATCACAAATTATCAAATTTTTAGGTCACAATTAAATAGTTCATCATAAATAATCAAATGGTTGGTCATATATCACCACGACGACGGCCATTGCGACAACCACCACCAACATACTCTAATAGCTCCACCATCACCAACATAGCCCTACCACCAGCAATATAGACACAGCCACAACAACCTACCACTATCGACCACCCAAACACCACCAAAAAATCATATCCAAATTCATCAATCATCGCCACAACCACCACCAACATTACACCACTTCCGCCTCCTCACTTTCCTCCTCCACCAAAACTCATATCCCAAACCATAGCCCAAAACTAGATCAAAGTCTAGAACGAAGCCAACATCATTGCCAACATCACGACCGCCAACTACAAACACTGTCAACAAAATCACTGCACAACCCAATAAAAAATTAGATCGCATCAATTGTACTGGTAGCGACATCATTGCGTACGCCTAAAACGAGATCCAATTGACTGCAGCGCATAATGTAATCTCTTCTTTCGGCACGGCGCCACACCTATAGCCGCATCATAGTACCACGACACGATGTGTTTCGATGACGTCATTTCTTTTGACGGCGTTTTCGAAATTGGGCAGAGGTCACGCGACGTACCTGGAAGCAGAGGTCTTCACAACCGTAGCATTCCTGGGTTGAGGAACCTGGGAACAAAGGTCCTCATAGTCGGCGCCATTCTCTTGTAGTGGTGCCGGTCCTCCTGTTGGCACCGAAGAGATGATAGAAAGGGAATATGTTGGGAAATAATTTGAACTCCATTATTTCCTCATTAAAATGAAAACTATGACCGTTATCCCTCACATCAAGCCACCATATTTGACTTTTTATCTCTTATGTGGGGTCCATAACGATTATATTTTTCATTCTCATTTTTATAATAATGTGGCTCAAACGGGAGCTGGTTTGTGAATGAAATTGGGTTGGTTAGATGGGTGAGGCGAGTCGTTTTATATATTAATTTAATTTTAAATAAATTGAATGATTACTTGATTTTTGATTAAATAATTTTGATACTTGATTTTTGAATTGAAAAACTTGAATACTTGTGTTTATGTAATTTCCTCTAATGAAAAAAGGAAAAATTCATAACTAATAATTTAACTATAACTCATTTCAAAACTAAGATAAAATGTTTAAAACAAAAGTCAAATATTTATTAAAATTTTTTTGAAATAATTAATTAAATATAATGTCACAATTTTATACAAGTTTGTCACAAATTATCAAATTAATTGGTTATAAATAATCTTCGATCACAATTGAAAATTTTATGAGTCAAAGATTATTTCATGATCATACATTTATCAAATTAATAGGACACATATTATACTTCGGCCACAATTGCAAATATTATAACTCACATATATCAAATTAATTGACCACAAATTATGTTTAGGTTGCAAATTATCAAATTATTGGTCACAAATAACAATTTTTTTAGGTCACACCTTATTATTGGCCGCAATTTACCTATTTCATTTGTCACATATTACTTATTTGTCACATATTAACCAATTTATTGATCATAATCAACAAAATCATTTGTGACTATCACCAACACTTGTGACCACTACCTCGTCACACCACCAGTTGTGTCACTGTAGAATCCACCATCAATAGAACTGCCACCACCTCACGACAGCAAAATCATCATTTCAAACACCGTAGCTAACATCAACATCACCACCACCACAGATCACCACCATTGCCACCGCCACCGCCACCAATAAAACCAAAGCCACACCAAATCCAACATACCTTCTGCTACCATTGGATCCAACAAAACAACCACCACCACGAGCACCACTACCACCACAACCCCACCCACCAACGGAAAACATACCTAAAACCCACATTAGATCGTAGAGCTACAGATTCCAGCCACAGCGTAGCAAATCTCGACCACGACGTGCGATGGGGCTAAATCGATAAAGGAATAAGAGGTAAGAGTCAGCGGGTTAAACTAGCGGTGGTCTCACCTGCGGCAGCGCATTTGCTATTACTGATTTGAAGCAACAGCAAACATAGCCACATCTTGCTTGCATCGTCGCACAATGGCTAAGCAGCATTCATAGTGTAGCTCCGTGCTCGGTATCGTCCCTGTCTCTTCAGCTACAATCGTTGTCATTATTTAGCCGTTGTAGAGAGAGAGAGAGGGGGGGACGGCTATGGTTTTACAAAGAGAGAAAGAAGGGATTAATAAATAATTAGGGTTTTGTACGATAGATGGTAGTGGGGTGAATATGTAAAATAATTTTTAAAATATTATTATTAAATTTATAATTTTAATTATATCTGATTTTTGAAAGAAAAACTTATAACTCTTAAATTTGAATTGAGATCTTGAAATTACTTAATGGGAAAATTTCATAACTAAGAAATTAATTATGGCACATTTCAAAAGCAAGAAAACAAGTTTCAAATTTCTAAAATTAGATTTTTATTAAAAATTATTTATAATTTAATTAGTTAATTAATTATTTTATTAATTAAATATATTTAGGTCACAGATCTATACATTAATTTTTCGGTCACAACTCAATAAATTATAAGTCACAAACACAAATTTTATAGATCACATATTATTTTTGATCACGAATCAAAAATTTTATAGGTCATAGATTAATTTTTCAGTCACAACTCAATAAATTATAGGTCACAAACGCAAATTTTATAGGTCACATATTATTTTTCGGTCACGAATTAAAAATTTTATAGGTCACGAAATCAAAATTGTTATTGGTCACATCTAATTTGTTGGCCACAAATCAAAAATTTCTTAGGTCACAATTCATTGATTAGTCACAAATCATATCAAAATAATTGGTCACAATTAATTCTATGGTCACAAATTAATAAATTACAAGTCACAAACCAATTTATTGGTCACAAATAACCAAAAAATTGATGATTTAATTAACCACTTATTATTTTTTGGTCACAAATTAGAAATTTTATGTCAAAAATTATTTTACAGTCACAATTCAAAAATTTTATGGATCACAGTTTGTTCATCGGTCACAAATCGAAAAATTTATAAGTCACGATTTATTTATTGATCATAAATTACAAATATTACAAGTCACAGCTTATTATACAGTCACAAATTATCAAATTATCGATCACAAATTAACAATTTTTTAGGTCACACATTATTTTTCTGTCACAATTTATCTTTTTCATTGGTCACATATTATTTATTGGTCACAGATTAACCAACTTAATGGTCATAGTCAACCAAATAATTTGTAATTAACGTCAATACTTACGATTCACAGTCACAATTTATAGGTCACGTGTCCAATTGTGAGTTACGATCACAATTTTTAGGTCACATATCCAATTGTGAGTCACAAATCAACTAAATCACCTCAACCATCACAACTACCGCCACGATCAACTGTGACTCCCAAATTGTGAGTTACAAGTGGGGGTTACAATCACAATTTCGAGGTCACGGGTCCAATTATTTCTCACAAAATCAATCAAATCGCCACGACCACCACAACCATCGCAATTCACCACCACAACCATACCTCACCCACTGCCACGACCACCGTCGTCTACAACCACAACCATCGAACCACACAACACGACCACCACCACACCGCACCCACGACCACCACAACCCACACTAGAAAAATCCCTAAATCAGACACCTTATCAACCACCACCGCCAGTATCAACCACCACCGCCAGTATCAACCACCACCACCACCACTGCCATTACATCCGCTCAACCACACCACCACCACACACAACCAAAATTACAGATTCATTATCATCAGCCGAAGGCCACGATACCCATCGTTGCAACACACCTCTGTTTCTTCTCGATCGCCGACCACCACACGAAACACTACTTCAAGCATCGGTCATAGATTTGCATCGCAACTACTGCTTCTGCGATTAGCTCTTGAAATGGATGGTGGGCGGGCGACGACGAAACAACACTTTGCGCGCGGTTGTAGATCTGTTTCGAGATACTGCTTCTGTGCTGCTGGTCACCGGCGATTGCTCCTGAAATGGATAGACGATCGGCGAAGGGAGAGAATGGATGAGGCAAATGGGTAATATGGATAGCCTTCATCTTTAACAGCTCCTGTGCCTACGCCAGTGCCGCCTCGTGTAGATCTCCCACATCAGACGCTGACGTCCTCAATGTAGCCAACCTTCGCCATGAAAATTCTTGCCAAACTGCCTCCTTTCATCCGGCAACAAGGAAGATATAGAGAGAGAGAGAGAATGAAGAGAAAAGGGATGAGGGTTAGTGTGAAAATCTGTTGGGTGGGTTAATTAGTAAAAATATTTAATTTATAAAAGTATTAATTAAAATAAAATTTCTGATTATTGAAATAACAAACTTCCAATTAAAATATTATTATTAATATTTATAATTTTAATTATATCTGATTTTTGAAAGAAAAACTTATAACTCTTAAATTTGAATTGAGATCTTGAAATTACTTAATTCATGTAATTTCCATGATGAAAATGGATTTTGGGCTTAGCCCATTTTGAATATCTAGCCCATACCGAAACACAGCCCAGCTCAAAACCAAATCCACTTCAAAATAGGAGCCCATCAGTCAAGACAGCTACACTAATCTAATAATGAAAAGGAAAATGAACCATCGATTCCGTATACATATTTCCAAACCCTCAAACTCTGGCTCCATTCGAACACTACCAATTTTTTGTACGAGAAAAAGTAAATAACTGTTCTTGCGTATTTCCGAAACCCTAGATCCCCCTCCTAGTCAATTCACGGTAAATTTTCGAAAATCTTCTTCATACTCTTTTCTTTTTCAATTTATTAATTACGGACATATTTGTAATATAATTACAGATGGTGTCGGACGCGAGCAAGAAGAAGGCTGCGCAGAAGAAGGCGGCGGCGGCGGCCAAGAGAGGTGGCAAGGCAGCGGTGGCGTCCTCATCCTCGTCAAAGACGGCTGAGAATGGAAGTAAAGTTGATAGTTTGGCGAACGAGGTCGAAGCGCTTCTGATATCCGATCGGACATGTACCGGAGTCTTATGCTCGCATCCTCTTTCCAGAGATATTCGGGTTAGTTTTCAGATCCAATTTTAGCGTTGGTTCTTTTATTATTATTATTATTATTATTATTATTATTATTATTATTATTATTTTAGATTTCTTGGTTGTTTTGTAGCATGTTATTCTAAAATACTTTATAAGTGATGTAAAATTAATATTTGGTACCAATTTGTTGGAGGATTTGATGAGATTTGGACGAATTAAAGAAAAAAAATTTTAGTATAGAAATTTATGGGAAGAAAATTATACTAAAATTGCATTCTCAAAACTCAATTTCTATTATTAAAATTTTTTGTAATGATGAAATACTATAAATGAGTAATGATTTTATATTAAATTTGATACATAAAATTTAATTATTAATATATAAATTTAAACATCCATTAAAATTTCTAGATACATGAATATGAATAAATTCATATATAATGACTCTAAATTCATGTGATTCAAGATTCATCAAGTAAAAATTCATTGAATCTAGGTTAATGTGAATGTTAATTAATTGAGATTTATCAACACAAATTTCACTATAATTATGTTGTATTTATTATTATATTGAAAAACGAAAAGTAGGGTATTATTGAAATAATTGAATTGTAAGGGGATTAAAATCGTCCAAAAAATGATCGTCCATTGATTTGATATTTTAATATATATATTATAGATTAATTTTTTTGGGGAAATTATTAGGGGTTTCAAGATCTGGTCTTTATATAAAGTTACATTGGTTTTCATTAGTCAAATGTTTATATTCTATTTTTTGTTAGTTTGTGGAAATTATTATGTTTTGATAATCCTGCTCATCCTCTACTGTATCCCATAGAATTGGAATCTTTGAGTTATCACTTGGGGTTTTTTTTATCTGTTTGTTTCTCATGTCTATTATCATTTTTTAAAGTCTCATTTAGAGCCGATGCTTTGGAATGCTCACAAGACAAGCAAAGTTATCGTTTGTAGCTTAACTTTTTGCATCAGCCTCTTGGCCATTTTTAACTGGTAAAACTGAATTGTTAATATTATCATTTTATTAACTGGAAAACAATGGGTTGTAGTTGTAGAAACAAGTGTGTTTTGTTGTCAGGAAAACAGCAACTGATAAATATCTAATTTTTGTAAAAGATTGATTAATTCATGTTATCATGTCTTAAGGATATGGAACTTAACTTCTATGAAGGTAACGTGGGATGTATAGCTGTCTGTCTTAACCATGCACAGCATATAACTCTTAGATTATTTTCCTTGGGTCATAAATCTCACCTTTACCTTATGGCTGCCAGCGTGAACATATATGATGCCTTTGGTATGTCTCCTACGTTGTTGGGATACATGAATAGGAGGTAATTTTGTGTATCAAATATTGTGTCACTTTAACTGTTATAGATTATCCCTACAGTTGTTTTTGTTGTTCAAATGAGGATATCTTGATTTATTTATGGTTTATGCTTTTTGCAGATTGAATCTCTGTCGCTCACTTTCCATGGCCATGATCTTATTGTTGATTCTGAACTAGAACTCAATTAAGAATACTAAAACTATGGTTTAGTGTAATTTCCACTTACTTAATTCATGTAATTTCCATGATGAAAATGGATTTTGGGCTTAGCCCATTTTGAATATCTAGCCCATACCTAAACACAGCCCAGCTCAAAACCAAATCCACTTCAAAATAGGAGCCCATCAGTCAAGACAGCTACACTAATCTAATAATGAAAAGGAAAATGAACCATCGATTCCGTATACATATTTCCAAACCCTCAAACTCTGGCTCCATTCGAACACTACCAATTTTTTGTACGAGAAAAAGTAAATAACTGTTCTTGCGTATTTCCGAAACCCTAGATCCCCCTCCTAGTCAATTCACGGTAAATTTTCGAAAATCTTCTTCATACTCTTTTCTTTTTCAATTTATTAATTACGGACATATTTGTAATATAATTACAGATGGTGTCGGACGCGAGCAAGAAGAAGGCTGCGCAGAAGAAGGCGGCGGCGGCGGCCAAGAGAGGTGGCAAGGCAGCGGTGGCGTCCTCATCCTCGTCAAAGACGGCTGAGAATGGAAGTAAAGTTGATAGTTTGGCGAACGAGGTCGAAGCGCTTCTGATATCCGATCGGACATGTACCGGAGTCTTATGCTCGCATCCTCTTTCCAGAGATATTCGGGTTAGTTTTCAGATCCAATTTTAGCGTTGGTTCTTTTATTATTATTATTATTATTATTATTATTATTATTATTATTATTATTTTAGATTTCTTGGTTGTTTTGTAGCATGTTATTCTAAAATACTTTATAAGTGATGTAAAATTAATATTTGGTACCAATTTGTTGGAGGATTTGATGAGATTTGGACGAATTAAAGAAAATAAATTTTAGTATAGAAATTTATGGGAAGAAAATTATACTAAAATTGTATTTTCAAAACTCAATTTCTATTATTAAAATTTTTTGTAATGATGAAATACTGTAAATGAGTAATGATTTTATATTAAATTTGATACATAAAATTTAATTATTAATATATAAATTTAAACATCCATTAAAATTTCTAGATACATGAATATGAATAAATTCATATATAATGACTCTAAATTCATGTGATTCAAGATTCATCAAGTAAAAATTCATTGAATCTAGGTTAATGTGAATGTTAATTAATTGAGATTTATCAACACAAATTTCACTATAATTATGTTGTATTTATTATTATATTGAAAAACGAAAAGTAGGGTATTATTGAAATAATTGAATTGTAAGGGGATTAAAATCGTCCAAAAAATGATCGTCCATTGATTTGATATTTTAATATATATATTATAGATTAATTTTTTTGGGGAAATTATTAGGGGTTTCAAGATCTGGTCTTTATATAAAGTTACATTGGTTTTCATTAGTCAAATGTTTATATTCTATTTTTTGTTAGTTTGTGGAAATTATTATGTTTTGATAATCCTGCTCATCCTCTACTGTATCCCATAGAATTGGAATCTTTGAGTTATCACTTGGGGTTTTTTTTATCTGTTTGTTTCTCATGTCTATTATCATTTTTTAAAGTCTCATTTAGAGCCGATGCTTTGGAATGCTCACAAGACAAGCAAAGTTATCGTTTGTAGCTTAACTTTTTGCATCAGCCTCTTGGCCATTTTTAACTGGTAAAATTGAATTGTTAATATTATCATTTTATTAACTGGAAAACAATGGGTTGTAGTTGTAGAAACAAGTGTGTTTTGTTGTCAGGAAAACAGCAACTGATAAATATCTAATTTTTGTAAAAGATTGATTAATTCATGTTATCATGTCTTAAGGATATGGAACTTAACTTCTATGAAGGTAACGTGGGACGTATAGCTGTCTGTCTTAACCATGCACAGCATATAACTCTTAGATTATTTTCCTTGGGTCATAAATCTCACCTTTACCTTATGGCTGCCAGCGTGAACATATATGATGCCTTTGGTATGTCTCCTACGTTGTTGGGATACATGAATAGGAGGTAATTTTGTGTATCAAATATTGTGTCACTTTAACTGTTATAGATTATCCCTACAGTTGTTTTTGTTGTTCAAATGAGGATATCTTGATTTATTTATGGTTTATGCTTTTTGCAGATTGAATCTCTGTCGCTCACTTTCCATGGCCATGATCTTATTGTTGATTCTGAACTAGAACTCAATTACGGCAGGTGCGTTTCGACTTCACAACACCAGGATGATGTACTGTGGTATGACTTTAAATCTATGTTAGTCTATTTTTAATACTTCTTATTTTCAGACGATATGGTTTACTTGGGCTAAATGGATGTGGGAAGTCTACTCTTCTTTCTTCAATGGGGTGCCGAGAACTTCCCATTCCAGAGCACATGGATATTTTTCATCTTACTCGGGAGATCGAAGCTTCTGACATGTCTTCTCTTGAGGCCGTTATAAGTTGTGATGAAGAAAGGTTGAAATTGGAGAAAGAAGTTGAAGCCTTGGCTGGACAGGTATGACTATCTGACCCAACGAATGGTAGTGCTCTAGAAATGGAAGCATTTCGGGAAGTGCTTATTTAGCATTTATTTTGTTCTTAGGAGGATGGCGGTGGAGAACAACTTGATCGCATTTATGAACGTTTGGATGCATTAGATGCATCAACTGCCGAGAAGCGTGCTGCTGAGATCTTATATGGTCTTGGATTCAACAAGAAGATGCAAGCGAAGAAAACACGAGATTTTTCTGGTGGTTGGAGAATGAGGATTGCTCTAGCAAGGGCACTATTTATGAACCCCACCATATTGTTGCTCGATGAACCCACCAATCATCTTGGTAAGCTTGCTGAGTCCATACAGATTTCTTTGAGATATCAGTAACATGCATATTTATTGTTATGAGTTAAAAAGTTAGTTTATAGGTGGATTTGTGGTTCATAATATCATCTGATTGCCTTGGGAAATAGATAAATGCATATTTATTGCAATGAGTTAAAGAGTTTGTCTATATTGGTGGATTTGCAGTTCAGTAGATCATATTGTGGATGTCACTTGGTTTTAGAATTTGAAATGTCTGATAAATAGTTGATGATTTTACGCTTGCTATGGGCATGACCATTACATAGTAAACCCAACTATTTTGTTGTTTATTATAGACTTTTGATGAACCCAAAAAATATCTTGGTAAGCCTTTTGAGTTGTAAAATTTTCCATACCAATCTGGTCAGCATTGAGGGATATCTATTGTTGATTCGTTTCTTTATATAAATTACAATAGTAGATTGCAGGTGAATGTATTATCTTTCCTTATTAGATTGAACCTAGTTGATTTATTTATTGCATAATCTTATTATGATCTTAAAATCATATTATTTTCATATAGGGTTTATTTGACTAAGATTTTATTAAAGTTTTAGCTGATTTTAATAAAAATTGATGTAATATGTCGTTGATAAGTTGATAAAAATTGTGGGTCTCATGAAATATATCATTAAAATTGAATTTTCACTGGTTGAAAGTTTTATTAAAGAAAGCACAAAATCTCCTAATTGATATATCAGACCTTCTCATGCAATAATGGTCAATGCCTAGATATTTTAACAATCGATTGTTCTTGAATTATTGCTGTTGACGGTTGACAAGAAACTTCTCTCCATTGCAGACTTAGAGGCTTGTGTCTGGTTAGAGGAAATGTTGAAGAAGTTTGATCGAATTCTGGTGGTGGTTTCACATTCCCAGGATTTTTTAAATGGAGTCTGTACTAATATCATCCATATGCAAAATAAGTCGTTGAAGATCTACACTGGTAATTATGACCAATATGTTCAAACACGTTCTGAACTCGAAGAGAACCAGATGAAACAGTACAAGTGGGAGCAGGAGCAGATAGCGTCTATGAAGGAATATATTGCACGTTTTGGTCATGGATCTGCCAAACTAGCTCGTCAAGCACAGAGCAAAGAGAAAACACTGGCAAAGATGGAGCGTGGTGGGCTTACAGAGAAAGTGACCAGGGACAAGGTTCTGGTTTTCCGATTTGTTGATGTGGGGAAGCTGCCTCCTCCTGTTCTTCAATTTGTGGAAGTAACTTTTGGCTACACTCCTGATAATCTCATCTACAAGAATCTTGATTTTGGTGTAGACCTTGATTCAAGAGTGGCACTGGTAGGACCCAATGGGGCTGGGAAGAGTACGCTACTGAAGCTGATGACAGGTGATTTAGTTCCTCTTGATGGAATGGTGCGGCGTCACAACCACCTGAGGATTGCTCAATTCCATCAGCACTTGACTGAGAAACTTGACGTGGAATTATCTGCACTACAGTTCATGATAAAAGAGTACCCTGGTAATGAGGAAGACAAGATGCGGGCAGCTGTTGGGAGGTTTGGGCTTACCGGTAAAGCTCAAGTGATGCCCATGAAGAACTTGTCAGATGGTCAGAGGAGCCGGGTGATTTTTGCATGGTTAGCTTGGAGGCAACCACACATGCTGCTGTTGGATGAGCCAACTAACCATTTGGATATCGAGACAATTGACTCCCTGGCTGAGGCTTTGAATGAATGGGATGGTGGCCTGGTTCTTGTTAGTCATGATTTTAGGCTCATAAACCAGGTGGCCGAGGAGATATGGGTGTGTGAAAATCAGGCCGTGACTCGGTGGGAGGGTGACATCATGAAATTCAAGGAGCACTTGAAGGCAAGGTCTGGTTTGTCTTATTGAATCGGATAATGTGATGGGTCGACTTGTATCAGAATTAAGCTATACAGCTAGCTATCCTGGCTATAGATTCCGATGCAGTGCATCAAGAATCTTCAAAAATTACAATATTTTATGCAAGTGGATTATGACTAGAGCCGAGGGAGGGAAAGAGTTTGTAGCTTCTTCATCATTCTTTTGAGCCTGAGCCTTTAAGTCGTGAGCCAATTACAAGCTGAGTTCACATTTACTTCCTCTATTACGGATTTTCTATATTTTACCTTATTATCATTGTTCACGACCTATTGAGAAAAGGCGGCCTCCAATGAATAATTTTTTTGTGGAGCAAGTCATACTTATTTTACATATTCTATATGAATTTGATTGTTGTTGAATATTATCACAGTTTATCAACGACTTATCTTATTACATGACCAGTGAGGTTAAGCATTTGGATGATGTCTCGTATTGGTGCTATCGTTCCTTAATTTAGTGTTTATCAAAGATATCTACAATAACTTTACTTCAAAATTCAAAATTTTTTATCAGAACACACTAATTTCCAAAAAAATTTCTTGAATTCTGTGTGGCTGCAAACAAAATTACAGTTCATCTCGCTTGAAGCTTCAATCTTACAGTTCCTCGCTACTTTTTTTTTTTATAATAAAACACGAAATAACTTGTTATTTTAAAATATTTTCATTAAATATCATGTCCAATTTTTAACATTATTTGTTTCTCGGTGGTATTGCCACTGCAAAATTGTTATTGATACTTGAGTTTTATTTATTTATTTTTAATTTTTTCTTCAAAGTACAATAGCCGACACTAGAAATGAATCTGCAAAATTGACTTTAAAAGAAAAATTGATACTGCAAATTTTTTATTAGCATACCTTTAGAATTTAGCCCCTGTTTTCTAGCGTTAAAAAATTTAATTAAAATTTAAATCAAAGTCCACTTGAACCATGCATTCCATTAACTTTTATAAAAAATCATGCTATTCAAATAGGGAATTTTGCCAGAAAATGTTGACAAACAACATTTGGCATGCATTCATTGAAAAAAAAAATGGCGAATCACAATTCGTTACGTCAACTCTGTCAATATTTGCAGTCAAAACTCCCTGTTTGAGTGGCTTAATTCAATATCCATTCATTTACTAGGAGCCCCCACTCCCCCAACTTGCTATGTTACGGGTTTAATATATTCAACACAATGATATAAAAGACACTAAACATTTAATACGCGACATAGGATAAAGAAAGAGTATTTTTTGAGTTTCAAAGGTGGAGTTATCTTGACGTAATTCTCTATCGTTCGGCTTAAAAAATAAATTATGAAACTCCCAGTGATGGCAAGAATCCGCAAAATACTGCTATCTCTAACTAACGTGCGATAGAATTCACTCCACAACACGGCCAAAAAAAAGAAAGAGCTTCGCTCTCTTAGGCTTTCATATTCCACAAAAAAAAAAATAATAATAATAATAAAAATAAAAATAAAAATAAAAATGGAAACTAAAGTTTTATCCCGCCTTATCTGAGAAAGCCTTAACCTTTGGTGAATAGTAATGGGCCTTCACTGGTTTGGTGGCAATGGCATCTTAACACATGAGAATTGGAGCAAAGATCAAGATCATTCAGGTCTCATTTCATTTGAGCGACGTCTCCGGCATTCCCCATTATGACTTAGAGTATCTCTCACGTCAACACTTTGATTTATGAAGGCAAGTCGAGAAGCCTAGCTCAATAAGAACCCGGAATAGTGGAAATCAGTTCGTGTTTTGCTTCCAAAGTCGACTCTTGGTCTTCGCTAACATTTTATCTATTGGCCAAAGTTAATCTGGTCCGAAGTTGTCAGAACAAATTGTTTGCTTTATTGAAAAAGGCCTGATTTGAATTGTAGCAAGGTAAGTTAAATGGTCATGGTTCCCTTTTTTAAGCTTTTTAGCTGGTGATTTAGGTTGTTTTTCTCTCGATGCATGAAAGCAAGACGGACATGAATAAATTAATGATATATACACATACATTAAAAATTTTAAAAATGTAATGAGTACTCTTAGGACACACAAGTTCTGAAGAACTTTGAAAATTAATCATTTCAAACAATTGAAAATTTTGAACAAAACACAATAACTAATACATGATTGCATGTGTCTGTTTTAAAATACTATTTGATGTGGCATCAGTCTTTTATATCAATAATCAATACAATCTAAGTTCACAGTGTGTAGAAAACCTACAAGGAATATCGAGGGTCTAAAAAAGTTAGATTTATTAAAGTCCATGTTTAGCTCACTTCAATGATATACTTATAATGAAATTCATTTATAAAATAATAATAATAATAATAATAATAATAATAATAATAATAATAATAATAATAATAAGATTTTTAACAAATATTATTTTATACTGAAATAATTTGATAATAGCATTAATTTCGTGATCAAAATAGGTATTTTTTCACTTCTAAGTACGAAAAAGTCACATATAAAAATATACATTGAAACACAAAAAAATTAGTTACTTTTAGAACCAATCTACAGGTACATGGGAAAACTTCACAGAACTTTTACAGATAACACACAACAGTGGGATGGATGATTTATTTTTTGCAATAAAATATTCACATGGGACCACCCCCGTGTGAGAGCCTGTAAACATTCTGGAAATTTTTTCTTCTGTACACAGAGCTTTTTTCTTACTTTTAAGCATAGCCCCTGTTTGTTTCCAATTGTTGGAAGAAAATAATTCTTATTTTGCCACTTTTTTGTTAGCATGTGGGGCCCCTAGTAAGAGAAGTCAACAATGGTGGCTAACAGTCTAGCAACGGTTGGAAAATGGATTATAATTGGGCTGAAAAATTGGAAACAATTAGGGGCTTATTTAAACATGTAGCATCGCTTACAAATATTAAAAAAACTCATTTATTTTTAGTTTTAATCAATAAGAAATATTTATTATAAATTTACTTATTAAATCATATGTGAATTTTTTTTATCTTAGTCAAATAGAATGAAATAAAATATCTAATGTGATAACGAAATATTCACGTTGAATAAATAGAATGAAATGAATAAGTAATTATCAATGTATATTCCTCACTATACATGAGGAATAACCAAGTTTTTAACTAAATTTGGATAATTTAACATGAAGCTTGGATTGTGGCTGAGGGTTGACCATGTTAAAATGAAATTTTAGACTGAATTTGAGCATTACTTTTGCCATATATTTTTCCATTTTCTCTTTGCATTTCCTTCATGTGTAAGCTTCGACTACATAGGTCGCCCGGGGCCGGGAGACGCGGTGGGTGCGGGGTATGTGGGCTGACTTTGGTGAATATTTATCTGGGAGACCAGTGCATGTGGGTGAAGTTTGATGCGGTCATGAAAAATCTTGTCAAGTTTTGATTTTGAAAAAGTATATTTCAAGATGCATGTACTTCAATTCAATTGGCACAAAACGTCTCTATCTTTCAGTTTCATTATGGAAAATATCCCTACCTTTCATTTTTTGGCATTTTTGCCCTCAAATCAACCTTTCGTTGCAATGAAAGTACTTCCGTCCAAGTGCCATCCATTTTACCGTTAATCAAAGAGAGAGAATCAATTTTTGTCCAGTCAGCAGGGGTAAAATCGTCTCACCCATTGAACCCCTTATTCCCGCCTTCTACGTAGTATATATAACAGCAGTTGGAAAATGGGTGTGAAAATACTATAAATTATTACATTAAATTAGGGAAAAAAAATGTTGTTAATTAAAGAGCATATATAATGGTGAAATCCAACCATCACTGCTGCTTTTATGTTGGATTTTTGGAAAAATGTAGTAAGATATACATTGAAAGGGTGGTCAATTTATATAGACGAATGCTAGATGTTTATTTCTAGTTTATGCTTATTGTGACCATGGGGTAAATTGAGGAGGTCGAGTGGAAATGGGTGCTGTAAAGTATAAATCGGTTCTATGTATCAGTTCAATGGTGAATGACCCATTTTGGCTTATTGGTGAAGATGAACGGGTCATGTTCACTTCTTCTGGGAATTGAATAAATATTGCGCTAATAATCCCTACGTAGTTATAATTTTGGCTTAAAACATCCCTACCTATAAAAAGTTTGGCGAGTAAAGTCCCTATCTTTTAGAAATATTTGCTAATAACGTCCCTACCTTTTAGAAATATTTGTGAATATTGTCCCTAACTTTTAGAAAAAATATGGCGCGAGAATTCCCTGTTTTCTTCCATATACCACCTGTTGATACACATCAACAGAAAAGTCCCTAAATACAGAATTCTATCACAGAATCTAAGACACAATTCATCCACCAATCAATCTAAAACTGAAACAAAAATATCCACTACCTGTTGAAGCAAAAATAACTGAAAACTGAAGCAAAAATAGATACAATTATTGCTCCATTCTCCTCTCGCTGGACAAACTCCCAACGTGAGCTTCCACTATGCCGGCTGCTGGTATGCGACCATACGAGATGAGAATGGAGCAATAATTGTTGAAATGGAAGATAAATGAGAATTTTTTGAAGAACCGAGAGAGAGTGGAATGGGAACTGTCGGGCCGTGAAGTGTGAAGAAGGAAATTAAGAAAATGAGGGTTTTCAATTGGTGAGACAGTTTTACCCCTGTTGAGTGGAAAAAAATTGGTTCTCTCTTTTTAATTAACGGCAAAATGGATGAAACTTGGACGGAAGGACCTTCATTGCAACGAAAGGTTGATTTGAGGGCAAAAATGCTAAAAAAATGAAAGGTGAGGACATTTTCCACAATTAAGCTGAAAGGTAGGGATGTTTTGCGCCAATTACCCTAAAAAGAAAGTAAAGTATAACTTTCAGTCAAAATTTACAATCGATAATTTTATAATGCAAAAGTTCAGCTAGAAGAAGGTGTTGTTTGAAATTGATTTTGGAATCTAACTTCTGGTTATGAAATAATTAAAAGTCAAGCGTTTGATAAATGTTAAAATAATAATATTATTAATCAAATAAAACTAATTATAGAAGAATATGTGACACATGACAGAAGACTTTGTGAAGCAATTTTTTACTTTTTCAATAATTTGTGTTTAAAATGTCAATTTTAACAATAACAAATAATTCATTTTCTACTATATGGACTATGCTGTTATTTTCTAATTTAATAAATTTTAATTGTTTTTTCAACCTAAAATAATTATTGCGTATTTGTTAAGAAAATTGGACACTGTCACCTATTGTTCTAAAGTTAATATTTTTTAACAGCGCTATTAACGATGAAATATAAAAGAATATCATTATAATCGATATTCATATTAGTAATTATATATAAGCACAACAACAAATCTGTTTATTTACAAAATGCTAAAATGTCGATTAAACACAACAATTCTAAAATAAACGTTTGTCAAAGACTTAACTCCTTCTTTCGATACCAACTCTTTCTTCAGTAAAAGTTGATTATCTTAAAATCGCAATAATATCAAATCAAGCATAACTAATCGTTAGTGCCCCTACAAACAATTTAATCAATATTTTTTCAGGTTTAAATTTATTTTTGAAAAATAGTTAACTAGAAATTTGAAACTAAACAAAATGAAGATTTACTAAAGTAATTTACTTGTTATCTGATTATAAAATGATTATAATGGGAGGGGTTTTAATAATCTTGGTGTAGCTCATCTCATTATTTTATGGAGTTTTAACTTCTTGGATTAGCCCCTAATTGAATGCTACCGTTACAAACTTCAGTGAATTGGCTCAAAGCTTTCAATAGGTCGAAAATTGATTAGGTTTGAGTTTGGATTATATACATTAGATTTTCAGGTAGCTTTATAGCAAAAATGACACTTGAAAACTTTCCTCTCTAAAAAATTCAAATATTGGAACAAAATAATAATAATAATAAAATACTGAGATTGGCCCACCCGTGTCAGGCATAGTACCCTAAATGAGACTTAGGGTCAAGTTGCGATTCAACTTGTTAATGTTTTGCTTCCTATTTAGTCCCCACTTTCCCAACGACTCAATAAAAAGAACATAAAAATGTTTTTTTGCGACTTAGTACCAACCACGAAGAAACCACAACCTCACGAGCAACATAATTCATCATTAATGATTATTGTCACCAATTTAGATGATATTGAACCACTTGATTAATTGTAATTTAATGCATACATTACATCCCCATTTCCTCGAGAGGAGGAAAACCCTAATGACATAAGTTTCATCATCTTCAACTCAAACAACAAAACTAAAAATCATTAAACAAAATGCTTATATAATAATTAAGAGAATTGAACAAAGAATCTCTCTAGGGACGGGACATTTTTTATGTCGTGAATTTAATTACCAGGGAACAACTTGGTGCTACTTTTAGAAGCTTTTCACCATAATCTTGCTACATGAACCCCAATCAACAGTACCAACCCTAGAAACCCTTTCCTCCACCCATTGCTCAGCCAATATTTGCTCAAGCTTGCTTGGTCTGCAAGGAATTGTCAATGCACCCTGATGATCAAAGCCATATTCTTCAGCAGCTTGTTCTAAAAGTCTCAAGAATGATGGATGTGTTAAGAAACTAAGTGGAATTATGAATCTTTTGAGTTCATTATCATCCACTGCAATCACTGCAAAATGTCCTTCCTTAACATCGGCTGGCACGTTTAAAGACGCAGCGTTTTCTTCGTAACTATCGACTTGTTCCGAGGGAGACTTCTTGATTGAGAATAGACCTTTTTGTAGCTTTTCTACTGCTATCTTAAGCTTTACAATTCCATTCTTTTTCTTGCCATTTGCTCTAGACTTTGCCATTTCTTTTTTCTTGAATTTATATTTTTCTTTTCTCTTTGCATTTCCTTTGCATGTAAGGTTTGATTATATATAGGGTACGATGGTACGATTCGAACTCAGAGATAAGGTAGCCCTAGGGAGAGATAGATTGACTATGGTGTTAATATTATGGAGACCAGAGCACGTGGTTGAAGTTTGATGCAACCATGAAACGTCTTGTCACGTTTCCCTTTCAATTACAGACAATTCTTACCATGCTCAGTTTCAATTTAGCCCCTATTTGACTGTCATTTTTTTTATGTGGAATGATTTTTTAAATAGTAAATATTTGGAGAATGAGTAGTGAAAATGTAGGAAAAAAGTTTAGATTTACGTGAAAAAAAATTTATTGTGAGAATGCGTAGTTGAAAATTTATACAAGGAAAAAAATGTTTTGAAAGAATGATTCTCAAACTGAGGAAGTTAGCTCATCCACACATAATAATCTCATCTCATGTATAGTGTCGTGTAGAGGTGTAAAATGTGTCAAGTTGTTGTTTGTTTGAATAGCAATAAGAGCTTTTGCATGACGGGATAAACTTTAATGGGCTCACTTGCTTATTTCTTTTTTTTCTTTTTTTTTTTGGAAAAATAACTAAATTTACAATAATTTATTATTAATTTTTCATCTCAAAAATAATGTAGGGCCTAATTTACACAAAACAACTTGTGTAAATTATGAGAAAGACTGTATGGCCTAACATGTCACAACCCGGCCAGCCATCTCAAAAGCGTGACGTGCCAATCTGGTAATGGTGATGAATCGAAATTAAATTTCTCCTACAATATGATAAGCATTAAATAATGTAATGTTGAAAACATATGTTATTAGAAAATTGATAAGCTTAGTTGTTTAAATTATGTCTTCTATGCACCCTTTATGTGCAAGCCATGCGTTCATACTTTTACCAAACGACCATGAATGCATGCACATTATTTTCATAAATGGATAGAGTGAGATCCAAATTCAAGTCTTAGCACCTGTATATTACTAATTAAAATTTTAATTTTAATTTAAGTTAAAGTTAACAATTAATTTTAATCATATATTTTATGGATCCCACAATATTTTAACTACACGTTTCATTAATTTCTATCAACATCTACTAAAAATATTATTTTAATCCCCACCAAATTTGGGCTTAAGATGAAATAATGGATTCGAATTGCACGTGTATATATAAATATATAACACTAAATAAATTAACAAGAATTTATGCATATAATAATGATACTTCGATTCCTTTGATATGAACGGTCAATGGTTTAATTGCAGTGGATGTCCCCGATTTATTAAATTGGTGCAAAGAGGTCTTTAGTTTTTAGTTTTTGACGTTCAAATTCTCAACTTTTCATAAGAATAAAAAGGAAAATTGTATCATCTTGAACTCCTGTACACCCTCATCTCCATGCCAGCCTGCTACAAACACCTGACCAAGGTTCATTCTTGAATGGAAATCCGTTGAAGTTTTAACTGCTTACAAATTAATTAAGATTTTATAACCTGGGGACCCTGCTGTATTTTTCCTTATTATTTATCTTGTACTATTTAAACCGGAGTTGATTTATTTATTCCCCTTCAACCATATCCAACTCAAACCGTAATAAAAATAAAAATTCTTATACGTACCAAATCTTTGTGGTGCAATAAAAGAGAGTTGTTTCAAAAAAAAGTGAAAGAAAATCGAAAATCGCCATTGATTTAAAATTTCGACTAGAAGAAAGAGAAAATTAAATATAAAAAAAATTAATTCATCTTGAACAAGTTCTTATCAATGGTGTTCGAAAAGTTAACAACTTGAATTAAACTATGTTTCAAAAATTTATAGTGATAAGAATTTAACTAAAACCAATGCTCCTGTCTAAATAAAAATGTTATAAATAAATAAATAAGGAAGAATAAAAAGGAAAGGGAAACAAATTAATTTATATCATTTTCATAACCATCCCAAATGTGGTATGATAAATTGGAAATATATATAATAATTATTCTTGACTTATTGGCCTCTATCTGAACATCTGCAATAAAAGGGCAATCCGATGCCTTATCAATCTCCATGTCTATCCAAATAAATATCATTGTGTTTTCAGAGTTCCTGCTCAACTTTTATTATAATGAAAAAGTTGAAATAAAGGGTCCCATATGTTATATAAAAAATAATAAAATAAATGAGATGAAAAATAAAGTGCAAAAAAAGTTGATAATCAAATAATTGAAGCTGGCCCTCCTCTTAAATTATTAACATCTGCCTGTTATCAGATATTTTCATGGACAATCTTGTTTCTTCGAATAAATGATAGAACAACATTATTGAAATTGGTCTACCTTCCCAGCCTATCTCCAGTCTCTAGTCTCTTTATTGGTTGGCAAACTAACATGCTGACACTTAAGGGACAACTTAAACACTGAGGTTTCATTTTCTCGTCCTGTTGAGAGTGTTTCCTAAGTTAAATTAGACAAGATAATAAATAAATATCTTACAAATATTGTTGGAATATAGTGGTGTTAATGAAATCGAATTATCACATATCGTATATGTAGTTTAGATATCGATTTTGAGCATACCGTATAAGCAATATACCGTATATGCAACTTACTGTATTTGTAGAACCTTACCGTATTTACAGGCTGCCTACTGTATATGCTTTTAATCATATATGCACATATTGTTTTACCCATTTCATATATATTGTATTTTCACATACTGTATTTTTACATACCGATTTTGCACTTAAACATACAAAAATTACAGTAATTTTTTCCAGATTTTTATTTTTAATATAAACGAAAATTAACGCAGATTAATTTTAATTAACATAAATAGAATGATAACATAATAAAATTGTAAATTATATGGATCACACGAATAAAAGCTAAATAAATAAATCTGCAAGAATTAATAAATTGTGAAGTGCAATCACAAAATAAATAAATAGCAGACGAATTTTAATAACATATGGCCTGTCCGAACACAGTTTCCTTAAAACAGATTCACCCCATTACCGTAAATGCTTGAGGTCTAATCCGAGCGTCTGTTTTCCAGAATACAACGGTGAAACCCGTAGAATTTGAGCACCACAGATATTACTCTGGCGAATTGAGTTTGTATTCAAACAATATCACCATAATGACGACGCTGAATAGAAATCAAGATGCAGATAGAAAAAATATGCAGAATGTTTTTCTCTTATTTTCATTTGTTGCAATTGCTGGAAAATTATGAGATTTAATATATGTTAAATCTGCCCATTAAATTCCATGGCAATAAAATTTGGAGTTGTTTCAATTTCTGAGAGTTTTGGCAATTTCAGAAAACTCAAAGGTCAGTTGGAGAAAGAAAAAAATTGCAAAACGTGGACACTCCAAAAGGACCAATTTTGCTCCACTTAGTCCAACATTCGTGTACGCAGGTCGCGCCCGCACACAAGTTCAAGGTCCGAAGGCAATTTCGGTCCGTGATTTATACCCCCTGTGTGCGCATGTGGAGAGAGCCTATATGTTATACATGATTACACCCTTCCAATGTGCAACCATATTTAAAGTGGTTCTTACTTTCATATTTTTCTTATGTGGAACAAACTCATTTTTCCCATATAAACCATCTTCTAATGGTTAACTTTGAGCTCCAATTTCTCATTCAGCGGAGCTTCATTTTTGGCAAGTAAATACATGATTTCGATGCTCTCACGGAGGATAATACGGATCAACTTTGATCTTCCAAATTGGATCGATAGGTCCCATCGAAAAGTGTGCCAAAAGTGAATGATTTACTTATTTTTTCAACAAATATCTCTATTAGCTATGTTCAACCAAGCATGTTGAACATTTTTTAGAATCAAAAAAACAATATATATAAAAATTTCACATGTGAATTTACTTTAGAACAATTATGTATAGACAATGTTCTTAAAAGTGCAAAACATTGCGAGGCGTGGAGACCAACCAAGCTTCAGGCTGGGCAAGTATAAGCCAAAAAAACGTTTTCTTAATTTAATATTATTTTAAATTTTTAAATCAATATAAAAATTATTTATTAATTAAAGAAAAAAATGTAAAAAAAGAAGTAAAAGCATAAAGAATGCATGTCTAGGAGCGAAAAAATTTAAAAAAAAATATTTGTAAAAAATAAAAAATGTGGCAAGACGTTTTGTGCCCACTTCGCGCCGTCTAATCGCTTTTTAAAACCTTGGTTATAGGCTATCATATCATCTTCTACTTTGACCTTTTCAAATGGGCAAAGATCATCCACTTTATAGTCTTACTTACAGAGATTGGTCTTGACTGCCTGATAACTGCAACCTCCTTAAGGAGGAAGCACCATTCCTTACAAAATTACAAGGCTAGTTTAAGAGACTTATTTCACGCCCTTCAGTATTCTTGGTCTATCCACCTGAATTTATTTCGAGTACAATACCATTTTGTTTAAAAATTCTCATATTTAGAATAATGGACATTTACTTCAATCATCAAATCTCTCTCTAGCATTTTGTGCACGTACGTAATGCAACTTTTATATGAGAAAAAGTACATTACTTAGGGGTGTCCTTAACTAGATTAAAATTTTGGAAGTCCTTATAAATTTAGACATTCTTTATTAAGATTTTAATGAATTCTAGTAAAATATATGCTTCTCTAACTGACGTTTTAATGAATTCCATTAAAATTTAGATGTTCTCAATAATACAATTTATAAGAATTTCATTAATAAAAGAATTTAAGAGATTTGAATGGACTTCAAGTTTAAAAATAAACATAACAAAATTTTATAAAATTTCAATATTTGTATGAGATTCTTATGGATTTTGTTAAAATAATATATAAATTTTTAAAATTTATCAATATTTCAGTTCATGACATCCATAGGTTCATCGATACTATGTGTTCTTTAACAAAGATTTAATTACATGCCATCTCTATCTATATTTTCTACGCTGTCAAAATCTATCAATTATATCAACTTAAAATTAACGGTCTCCAAACTACGAGAATGCCCAAAAGTAAAATGATATAGAATT